TGTTTGTGGCTGGAGGTTGCATTGTTGACAAAAGTGATGTCTTTCACTGCGTAACAATGTTTGACACTTTAAAATTAGAATAACCTCTGTGTAAATAGATGTTATGAAAGTTGAAGTCAATATACAGGCCGCTTATTAATATTATCCGAGATTTAAGTTGCGCAATGTATTTGAACTCACAAGGACCGAATTCATTTCTCAGCTTATTTATAATCTTGATTGGATATTTGAAATATTTTAAACATTAAATACAAAGTGTGGGGCAAAAAAATGAAACTGATGGAACGCCATATTAACATAATATTCAAATATTCGAACCATTCTTCAAATAATTGTACCTATCGCTGAATGAATTGAAGATAGGTACAATTGAATTAAAGATAGGTACAACTGAATTAAAGAAACTAGTATGCCTAAATGAATTAAATATAGATATACTAATTATATCTATCTATACGTAAGTAAATCTATGTTCAAATAAATTACAACTTTCTATGAAATATCCACAAAGGATATAAAGGTGTGCACAATTCCATAACACCTAAGTTCAGTTTTTTTTCCCGTTATAATGAATGCTCCCTCTAACAACGATGTGACTTGAACATAGAAGGAACTGTATCTATGGGGAGTAGTTGTTCATTCATTAAGATAGGTTCAATTCAATCGCACCTATCTTTAAATCAATTATACCTCTCTTTAGTTCATGGCATTTGTACCTATCTTCAAATCTGTTTTACCTATAATCAAATGAATAAAACAAATGTTTAATTGAATCAAATCGTTTATTTATCTTAACATAGGTACAATAATTTTAAGACCGGTACCATTATTTGAAGATAGGTTCAAATATTTAAATATATGCTAATTTGACGTTCCATGAATAACGCCATGACACTATTTAAAGTGTTGGCAAATATGGTAGATCCTTTCAATCATTTTATTTTTACTATTTGCCAATGTATGCACATAAAAAGAACTAAATAACGTCAGGTGGATTATTTTCACCTTTACAGAAGTAAATCTACTTCTGATGTCTAGGGGATGTTTTAAAGAAAGATTTCGTAAGGACATCCTTCTTACTGGATTTTCTTTTCATGGCAGTCCTATTCAGTTTATTATTTACATGAGGTGCTGCCTAAAACTTGAAAAGAAACGAGTTTTCATAAACTGTAAAAAAAATGAATAAGATTATTTCTGTGTAGATTCTAAAAATAACGAAGTTTTTTTTTTAATAAATTTCATTATACTAAGTGAATGACAGCCTTCAAAATTTAATACTTCAAGAAATAAAGACAGAAACACGAAACCAACAAGGGTGGGAGTTAATCGGAGTCTAAGTTAATTTACGGTAAACTGAAAGGTGACCAAATAATCCCGAAAAACTATTCATTACCTTGACAACAGAGAATTTAAACGGCCAATTTTCTCACGAAAGTAGAGCGAGATCATATAGCTAGAGAGAAACAGCGGGGTATGAAGCGATGATGGTTAATAATGGCCTTGCTGGACATACTTACAAATTGACCAAGAAAAAGAAAGAAGGAATATTAATTTCAACAGGTTTAAGGAGCTGAGGAAGACAATAATATTTTTTTATAAAACTAATTTTCGTATATGATTAAATTTTATTTTGCAAATGAATTAAAATATCTTTTATTTTTTATTCAAACAAATTATTATAATAGGGAGGATACCTTTTTCCTGATTAGCACATTATTATATATTTACTACTGAAGTAAAAAATACAGCTTTATATTTATAAAGAAGACAAAAGTCATACGAAGAAATAAAATGCAAAGTTCAAATCTAGGTAACTATACCCGTTTGCCTAACAATCTTGCAAACCATGCATCTTTTTGTTGTATTCATGGTTATTTCAAAATACTTTGTATTCATAACCATGATTTACACATCTTTTCTTCGTCCCCAAAACAGCAGGGATGTTTTATTTATCGTCTTTCACCTTTATGTCAATAGAAAAAGGAACCTTATACCCAATATCTTGTTATCAACTACAAAGAAAGAGGTTCCACACCGAGGCGCATTTGCAAAAAGTATAGTATTTTACTGCGAAGTAAAACCCAGTCGTCTTTTTGACAAAGTTATTTAAGAACATTTAACGTTTTACCAAGCGATATGTTGAGACCATGAATGATTAAAAAGCAAAGTATTTTATTTGTACATAATTTTTATAAATAATTCCGAAAAACATATTCAAGACCAGTTTTACCATTAAGAACATTTTTATTAGCTTTCAAATTTATTACCTTAATATGATTAACCTAATTAATATTCTCTCTAACTGGCACAGCATTTGTTACATTTTACAGTAATAAAGACCACTTCCTCTTATTCCCTTATGTTTGGAGAGAATTATAAAATATTTTAAACTGAGTTCCACAAATCGAAATAAAAATTAAAGAACTGTGATACCTGCTTTAAAGATCAAAATTGTACAATGTGATTTAAGCTGAATTGCTTGTCTTCCTGATACATGTAATTACATTGCAAGTGAATTTCTATCGTGTCTATAGTGGATGCATTGAAAGACCCACCCATGTATTTACGCAACAATGCCTCTGCCTACTTGAAGATGGTCAAAAATTTCGAAATGACGTCCTTGGGATATTTAAACCCGTAAACCACCCCAGACCCTACACTATCAAAACAGGTTTCACATCATTCAAAGATGCGCTCAATTCTGGTTTTTATCGTCCTTGTGGCATTTGCTTTCTCTCTTCCAATTAAGGTAAGCAATATTTCTTTCATTTCTATTAACAAAATGCAAGGACTACTAGTATTTACACAAGACAAATAATGAATAAAATTATATTTGGGTAATTAATGATGAAATAATATAACATATAACAGGCAGAAATACAAGTTCTAGTCGACTTTTAATGTATTTTATTTTCCTATATACTAGTAATATATGCAGGCCACATTTTTTATCCACCGCATTAGCTGAAAGAGCTGGATGGGATATTAATTAGGGTCTATTTTTCTGTATATATTTCTGTCTTTGTGTAACCCTTTCGTTTCCAAACGATATCTCAAGAAGCTTTTGAACTTTTTCATTGAATTTTCATAACGAGATTTTCTTTTCCACAAAAAAGACTTCTATTGATTTCGAGGTCAAAAAGGACTAATTTTAATCAATGTCATGAATAAATACATTATGTCTGTATGTAACATTTTAGATTTTTGTGCATTAACTCGAGACGAATTTCAGCTTCTGTAATGAAAATTTATAACATGTTTTATTATCATGGCTTCGAATAGACCCCTATTGATTTTTTTTAAATTAAAACGTCACAGCTGAAGGCCATAAAATCATTCTATCTATTTGTGTGTATCACTTCGTTTTTATCTAAGCTAAAATAATAGGTCAAGGTCAAAAACCGTGCATCACAAATAACTTTTACGGTTGATAGTTTTACATTTCTTAAAACTTTTGTTTTCACTAAAATTCAATAGCACAACTCTCTATGACGTACAAGAACCCCATTGATTTTGAGGTCAAAAAGTCAGAGGTCAACTTCATACATTCTGTCAGTGTAAAACACTTTTTCTAAAGTACATCTTCAAACAAAAATTATTGCAAGATTGTGCAATGTTATTCTGGTCAGGTACTTCTTTAACTTTACAAAGACTCCTATTGACTTCAAAACTCTGAAAGGTCAAAGTTCTTACAACCTCTTCTCTTTTCTTGAAGCAGAGAACACACATTCTCTGAATTACCTTCTCTTACCACTTCTCTTGTACTGTTTTTCTTTTTCAACCAAAAGTTTTGAAAACCTTCTATTATACAATTAAAAGAAAAATTAATGACACTGGTAAATATATTTTTATTAATCAGTAATAAATGATATAACAAAATGCCAAATGTAGGTAACATTTCTCGACAAACTTAAAGTAGACTCTGAATTTGAAGGGGAAACGGGAAATTAAGAACTCGGGTAAAATAGCTGTACACATAAGTAATGGTTCCACAAAATAATGGGGTATTATATTTTGGCAAATTTTCTCTTGTTTTAGAGAGGAGATTCAGAAGAGGATTATCAACACTGGGTAGATGTATGGAAAGCCTCAGAATCAGGCAAGTATAGTCAATAATAAAGACTCAACACAAACAATGGTTCAGGGCTGGATAAGGAAATTAAACAATTTTTATGAACTTCATGTGAATAAGTGGTTTGGACATTTTTCCAAAAAAAAAAGTTTACGTTGAATGCACACAGTGGATAACGCTGTTTCTATTATCTTCTTGAAGTTCAAACAGTACACACCACTCGGTTTAAAGTTCCTCATTTTCATCCATTTAAAACACGTTCTACAACCTGTTCTAATCTCTATTTAATGCCGTGATGTCGACCTGCCTGTAAGATTCACCTGTCGCTATATGATTATGTCTTCTACCACCTTTTTATTGTTGTCCCCTGTCTTTGCAAAACTTAAATGCTGTGCGTTTGGAATCAAACATCAAACTCCCTTTAAATGGTGAAAAGTTTATTTTTGTAAATTAGTAACTGTTCCTACATTGCACATGTACAAATAGCTCAAAATGTTCTTGAACCTTAAAACCAACTATGAAAAATTGGTTATATATTTGCTTTGTTTTTTTCTAAATTAAAAAATGGTAAAATGTTCCAGAACTTTTCAAACAAAAATGCAAGCATCGCATTGTCGGCTTAGCAATGTTCCTATGCATTTACTTTTAATAGCAAATTTATTTGATTTATTTCGTTATTATTGATAATTCACAATATATTAAAAAACACTCTTTGCAAAGTTAAATAAAAGTTTCCCAAATCTACTCTTTACAATAAAACATTCTTATAAAATCGGTATATTCTCTTAGTCATCATCATGTTACATGTACAGTGTATTTGTTATATAATTTTATGTGAAGGCAAGTTTTGTGATGAAATATTGACTATTTAGCATCATGTTTTCAATAAGAAAGTAAGTATTTCAGAATTTATTTTAATTTTTTTAGACGTAAATGATGCTGCGAAAGATGAAGTGGCACAATACACCCAGCTGTTGGTTCGGGACCTTGGGGAAGTGGTCAAGAACCTTGATGTACTCCTCAGCGGAAGTGAGTAAACAAGATTCTAATAGGATTTTTCATCCCTCAGTGATTTAAACTGGACAATGCATTTGTTTCATAAGCAAAGCCTTTGTAATTTTAGAATACAATTCGATTCATTAGCTTATATTTGTAGATTGAAAAATTACATATGTAAAATCCTAGAAAACGATACCTTGTAATTATTGGTATGAAGGGTACTTTCTTCCGTATAATCCTTTTTCGGTAGTCAGTACCCTTGTTCTAGAATGTGTTAATTACCTAAAGATTTTACATAAAAAATCACAAAAATTATTGTAACATTCAGTAGGACATAAATTAGTTTGATTACTTTCCAGAGGGTACAAAAGAAGATGGCATAAAGGCAATGACTCACATTGGTGGAATGCTGGAACTTCTGAAAATAGATGCAGCAGGTAAATCTCTTGATTATTAAATCCTAGAAAATGATACCTTGTTATTATTGGTATGAGGGGTACTTTCTTCCATATAATATCTAACTTTAATTTAAACAATTAAAATTATGTTTAATTAAACTTACCTGTATCCCAACCTAAAATATACCAAATTTGAGACAAGTTCTAATTTTTAATTGTAGAAGAAAAATCCATTGAACCAATGCAGCTTCCTCCAGACTCAGACAAGGGATGCAACGCTGGTAAGTTATTTACTGCGTTTAATACCCATTCTTTACTCCTTTACAATTCAAAGGAAGAAACTCTGCCATTTAGTCAACTGAAAGATAACTGAAAGGTGACTGAATTTACTCTGCCATTAGACCTTGTCAGATCTTTTTCAATCAGTTACAAAATTTATCATTTTGTTCTCAATGACTTGCTAAAGTAATTTTTAATTACAAAATTTTTCATCATCATCTTTGTCTCACAAAAAACATTCATTTTGATGCTTTACTTTTTAAATATTTTTATTAGCAAAATAAATAATTGTACATTCTCTAACATTCTATCATTTCCTAAAATTAAGGCTTTTAAAATGTTGGCTTGAAAAGTGAAATTGATATTTTATCTCGTAATATATGTATCAAATGACACGTGTAATTATGAAAGATATAAATCTTTAGTTTTGCTCTAATTATTTTAAGAACTTTGATGAAATAAATTTGGTTAAGCTTTGTTTGAAATCTTATCGCTCTGTGACCTATTTTAGCACATCTTCTTTTCATTTATTTTTTTCTTTTTCTTTTTATGATTAAAATTGAAAAGTTAAGTAATTCCTTTGAAAATAAAACAACACATAAATATACCATACATATTAAATAAATTCTACCTACAGCTGATGTGGAGAAAGAAGAAGGATGTGACGCCAAGTTTGGTTTGATCATGAGGTGTATCAAGGATGGCTTAGTGGCCGTCATTAACCACTTGAAGAGTGATGCCGATCGTACGTAGACACGACACTTTCTCTGTTTGTTCTGTTCTTCAAATGCATTTCGAAATGTTGATTTATGACAAATTTCTTGTTTATGTATGAAATGTTTGTATTTTGGATTGAATATTAAAGATGTTCGTACCTTAAGAAATTTGATTATCAAACAATCCTTTCAAAATGCATTTTATATGAATTCCATATGTATAAAATATATTTATACATCCCAGTCATAAACGTCTCACGATAAAAAATGGTGTTGTCAAACCCCAATCTCGAGAATTTTTCAATTAAGTAAATATACAAATAAAGATTTTGCACAAAATTGACATTAAAGTTTATTTAATCTATTGAATTATCATTGACAGCTTTGGAAAAGGTTAAGTTTGCTAAAGCCGTAATTAACCAGATTGGTGCAGGGGCTGAGGATATCTTCAAGCTCGCAGGTGAGATACATTAAATCTCAAACACAAACAAAGCGTTTCGAATTATTTTGATTTATTTTTATTGAAATATTTCCTAAATGTTTGCATAAAAATCAAAGTGCAACCAAATGATTAAAATGAAAACTTTACTATTTGAATTTCAGAAGCATGCTATGGAGACAAAGATAAGGTATACTTTACACCTTCTCTTCAGAAATAGAAATGAATTGTTGTAAAATTTCTATATGGAGTGTTTATAATTTGTTGAATTACTAGTCTTGCTAAAAATTGATGGAAATGGAAACATCACATAGGTATGTATTCAAATCCAGCAATGCATCATCTAATACGTCTATATTTATTATAGAACCCCTATCAGCACTGGGTAGATACATGGACTGCTTCAGAAGAGGGTAAATGAGAACTCTTTTTTAGCTTTTATCTCTTTTAAATTAGTTGGGGGAGAGAATATTTGATCACATCATTACGTACTATAACGGTTTTTTTTAACTATTTTTTTTATTTTAAAAATTTATTCATAGTAGCATGGTCTATGAATATTAACATTTGTTTTGCAGATGTAAAGAATGCCCCGGCTGAAGAAATTGAGCGCTACACTCGGCTTCTTTTAAAGGACCTTGGAGAAGTGGTGAAGACATTAGACGTACTCCTAACTGGAGGTTAAGAGATTTTTTTTTGCTTGATTATTACCTGTTACGATTTAAATGTTTGGTTTGTTGTACAGTGTATTATACACATTGAAAAGCAGTCTTCCTTGCTTCATTTAATTCATGCTTGTGGTTCAGGCGATCTAAAACTAATTGTATTCAATAGAGGGAACCAAAGAAGATGGGATTCGTGCCATGCATCACATTGGTGGCATGATGCATCTCTTGCAGTTAGATGCAGCTTCTGGTAAAACATGTTTCACAATCCTAAATTCCTCTCGTGTAAATAAAAATAAATGTCGCATTTCTTCATTTTTCTTTTCACACATGTCAGAAATCTTAATTTCTAAAATTATCGTAATTATGAATAGGTTTAAACTTTTGATGTAACACTAGTACAAAAGTAGCAAGCTATGTATTTAAGCAAGGTTTCAAATAAAAATAAGCATCGAATCTTAATTTGTTTCATGCACTTTATGAAAATACATTAAGAATATCAGAGAGAAATACCTATAGCTGATTCCTTTCACTTTTTAAAAAGAAAAATCTATTGACCCAATGGAGCTCCCAGCGGATTCCGACAAGGGATGCACTGCCGGTGAGTACCAGCTTTCTTCTGTAGAACTTGTCTTCTCATAATCAATCTAACTTGAAAGAACACATATCTGAAATGAATTTGATTAAGAGTATAAGAACCGGAAGTCGGCATGATGATTTTCGTTATTTTTATTTTATTTATTTATTTATTTTTTGCAGCTGACGTTGAGAAACAGGACGGATGTGACGCCAAGTTTGGTTTGGTCCTGAGGTGTATCAGGGGAGGTGTGGTGGCTGTCATGGACGGTCTCAAAAGCGACAAAGACGGTGAACTTTCTTATCAAATAATCTAGCATTAGTATTCTTTTAAAAATAGATTTATAAATAAATATAAATTAGACATGAAATGTCAACTGGGTATAATTCCATATAGTAACAAACTCTTTGATTTATCTGTGTACTATTGAGAGTATGGCATTAGACTAAAAACTTAAACAATTTATTTTTTTCTGATTTCGATAGCTGTTACAAAGATTAGTTTCGCTAAAGCCATCATCAACAAAATTGGAGAAGGTGGTGAAGGCGTCTTCAAGATGGCCGGTACGTGAAGTTTAAAGATATGAATGATTTATTGATATGAATGGAAGTACTTACTAATTTTAGTCGAATTTTACATGTAGATTCAAATTTTAAACCTATAAATATTAACTATCAAAACTTTCATGAAAAATAAGTCTTTGCTACCTTAGTGCCCAAACAATACAATTAATTTTTTTTCCATTTGCAGAAGCATGTTACGGAAATCAAGTAAGTATAATACTGAATTCCTTTTTCACAAAATATAAGATTCTTATTTTACCCTTACTTTTGGTTTTATTACCTCTTCGAATGAATACTCTTTTACTTGAGTATGGATATACATTCTACTTTGTTGCATTCAAAAATTTAAAAAAAAAATCTAGAACTTAAAGGTTTTAAGATCTAAAAGATGGCGATTTAATCACAAGAAAATTACAGAAGGGACCTACTTTTCACCACGCCCTTTTCTACAATACATGGATCATCATAGGGAGATTTGCTTAATACAATAATCTAATTCATTTAATTCCAGAATAACTACGATCATTGGGTTGATACATGGAAAGCTTCAGCTGAAGGTAGAGTAAAAGAATAATTTATATAGTATAAAGTCATTTTAATTTAACTCTTACAAACTCTGTATGTCCTTACCTGATTGGTTTTACAGACGTGGCCCAGGCCTCCGATGAAGACGTAAAGAGATACACTGGTCTCCTGCTCCGTGACCTTCAGGATGTGGTGGATAACCTTAATGTGGTACTTAGCGGAAGTGAGTATATGTGGTACCAAACTGAATCTGATGGAACAAATTAAATCAATCGGAGATTATATGACACTTTTTTTTTTAGGAAATATCATTCTATTTAATAGCAAAATACTTGATTTTTCTAGTCATAAATTGTTTCCGTTATTTTTTTTATGTTGATGTCTTTTTCATCAATCTTGTCTGACATATGATTAAAGTCTCTAACTATGAATGTTTTTCATAGAGGGTACGAAGGAGGATGGGATCAGAGCCATGCAACACATCGCAGGAATGATGGAATTATTGAGGATAGATGCTGAGGAAGGTAAATTGTGACGTTTGGAAATTGAAAAGCTTATATATAAATTTTAAAATGTTCCAGCATACATTATTTTATAAGGATACTTTTTAATGTCTTATATACATTCCTTACAATTTTATTACTTAAAGTGCAAGTGCATACATGTATACATGTACTGCAAAATAAGATACCTTAATTGATTCTGTTTTTTACAGGAAAGCAGTCAATTCCTCCTATGGTTCTCCCAGAGGGTTCAGACAAAGGATGCACAGCCGGTAAGTATCACGTACAAGATGTCTGGAAACCCTTAATGTAATGTTTTACATGTAGTTGTGTTACTCATAAAAAGAATAACTTTAATTTTTTAAGCCTATATACTTGAATAACAAGGCAATTCTTAAAATATTCAATTAGGAAACGCTTTAATTTGTTGCAATTACTTATTGTGAAGATTTATTATTTCATTTTGATAAGAGATATTTTGAAGAGATGTCCTTTTATGAAATAATTATAGCTGACGTAGAGAAACAGGAAAGTTGTGATGCTAAGTTTGGAGTGATTTTAAGCTGTGTTAAAGGAGGTGTTGTGGCGGTCATGGAAAACCTGAAGAGTGACGCAGACGGTATGTCTCCTCTAAATAGTGTCACATGGGCATGCGCAGGGGGTGTCTCAGAGTGTTTAAAAAATACCTGAAAAATAAGGGCCTCTCTCCAGAATAAATATTTTTGTTTTGTCGGAAAGCTATTTTTATTACTATTTTAAATCACAGAATTATGTTGATTTATTGAAATAAAAAAAGCTTTTTTTGTATCCATTCCACACATCAATCAAAACAGCTAAAGTGTCATATTTGTTCCTTGTTTAGATAGGAAATAAGATTTTCAAAGTATCATATATTAGTAAGGTATATCAAAATAGTTTTGTAAATGTTGATGCCCATTTTCCACAATAATTTATGGAAATAGTAAAACTTGTAAATATTTACATTCATTATGTGTTCAAACATTGACTTTGTAAAACTTAGTGTCCCAATATTTGACACACATATAGTCTTTCTATTTAATTCAACATATAACATTGTTGTTTTATATAAACAGTTGTAAAGAAGATCGGTTTCGCCAAAGCAGTGATAAACAGTATTGGCGCCAAGGGCAAAGACATCTTTTACCTGGCACGTAAGTCTGCAGGAAGTTACTTAAAATAATTGCAAGCTGAATACGCATATCATTCTTCTCAATGAAAATTTTTTCCAATTGGTTTTTATTTCCTTGCGAGTTAAATTCCATTTTATCAAAACTTTGTCTTAAAATCACTTATTAAGTGAAAAATTAATGTTAATTAAATGTAATTTTCCATTTAAAACAAAATTCTCTTTAAGTATTAATTCTTTTTTAGATCAATGCTATGGAGAGACAGAAGAGGTAGATATATTTATTTAAGATATTATTCTTAATGACTGGCCCATTCTCCTTTGCTATCATGGATAATGATACATAAGTTAATGAATAAAAAGATATATTAGTTATATACGGGTAATCTTTTTACTCACAGGCTGACAAATACCAGCATTGGGTTGATACTTGGAAGGCCACAGAGGAAGGTATGTGGGTTTTTCAGTCTGGTACCGATAATAAATAATTTCCCAATATAACTATAAAATACAAAGAATTCAATTCAATTAGCAAAATTTGCTGATAACATATTAAAAAGTGATATTTTAAGGAATCATTGTTTGAATTGCAGAAATTAAGAATGCACCTGCAGAAGAAGTGAAGAAATACACAGGCCTCCTGCTCAAGGATCTAAGAATGGTTGTTGGAAACATAGATAGTTTACTAAGTGGCAGTAAGTTCTGTTGTCCTGCATATAATTTTTATAAAAAGTATTTTATTTTGGAATTATAAATCTAATTATTTTTTTCTGAAAAGAATAGCCATAATGAATAATTCACTGGAATTCTTCTGACTTTTACAATAAAGGCGAAAAATGGAGACGTGCTTCTTTTAAAATAATTTTTAAAATTTTTTTACATTTGAAATTGGTCATATAAGTATATCATAGAGAAAATTTTCTATAATATCACACTCGATTAATTTGTATACGTCTTATAATGTTGTCTTTCCTCATTTATATGATTAGAGGGAGGTGAAGCAGAAGGTTTAGAAGCCATGAAACACATTGGTGGAATGATGGAACTCCTGCGCCTTCACTCTGAAGAAGGTAAACAGCATCACATTATCCTCAAAGGAGTACCCTTGTCTAGTAATTGGAAGAACCTTCTGTAAATTATTTTTGTCTGTAATTATGTCATTAGACATTATAATATTTGCTCTTCTTGAATAATGTAAATTTACATTTTTTAAAAAGATTTTATTTTTCAATAAGCAAGATGGCGACAGTCCTATTTCCTGAATGAAAAATAATGGAATAAGAATAAATAAAAATTTGATTAAATGTTTTTAAAACACAACAATTGTAGGAGAGAAGTCTATTCAACCCATGGAACTGCCCAAGGACTCTGACAAAGGATGTACTGCAGGTGAGGATCTAGAAAATATATAGATTCAGATAGCATTACTATATTGACGATTCTGCTTGGTAAACAATAAATATTTTAAAAAGTAAGGAAAGTTTCTATTTCTTTTAATGCTTTCTGTACTTTGTATTTTAATTCTAGAACTAGAGATATGGACATTTCTTACAAACAAATTAGTACATCTGTTTTTTAATGTTATTAGCTGATGTTGAAGCAAAGGAAAGCTGTGATGCTAAGTTTGGTTTGATTCTTGGGTGCGTGAAGAAAGGACTCGTGTCTGTGATAAATGTGCTAGAGAGCAATACAGACAGTAAGAAAACTACATGTAATTTAAAGTTACGCTGCTATCTCTCTTTTTTCAAAGCACTGGATAGTATTTGCTGGTAGTATCTATAAGTAGCATCGCTTATTCAAAACGAAGTATTTCAGGTGATAGCAAAAAAAAGAAGACATTTTAACTTGATTTACAATTATTTGAATTGCAATATTAAAAAGTATTAAATTTAACTTATTCTCTGTCAGACATCAGTGAAAGATCTGAAAATTTCATTGTATAATGAAATGAATTGAAATTTAACAAACTTTTTAGCATTTTCTGTCTATTAATAGTTAGATATATCGTGGCTTTTCATACTCACGCACTGAGTTTGACATTAAATTTTTCATCTTTCCAGCTGTGAACAAAGTCAAATTTGCCAAGGCAGTCATCCACAGTATTGGCGCTAAAGCAGAGGGAATTTTCCAACTGGCAGGTAGGGAATACAATTTATGAATAAAACAAATACTTGATTTGTTCAAGAAAAATGTTAGCTTGGGCTTTAAAATGTAGAGAATAACTCTTTTCATATGAAACATAAGAATGGGAAAGGTTTATTTCTGACAAAGACACATTTTTCTCCTGAATTTGATATGTAACAATTCTAACAGAGGATATATAAATCACTTGTGGCTTAAGCATGAAACTTGAATGGTGAAAAATTCAAAATATTAAAGGCCAATGTCCTCATCATCTTTTTAGTACAAAGTACTTCTACATGCAAAAAGATACGAATTATTTTTCTTGTAACATATATTAAACGAAGTGTATGTGAGTTCCTGTCTATATTTAGTATCAGTAGTTTTGATTTTGGTAGGTTTTTCTACAAAAATTCACTTCACAAAATTGTGTCATATGGTCATGAGTTTTTAATCTTCAATAAAATTGTTTTTAAGTTTTGCTCTTCACCAACCGTGTTCCAAGACGTAAATTATACAAAACTCAGATTATTTCAATTTGATAAAAAAAAATATCTAAATGCTATAACTCTTAGATGTTAAAATTTAAAATAGTACCATAACTTTGATAATTATGACTTACAGAGTGAGATATTCTCTTAAAAAATCATATATATATTTTTTAATTCTATGGGTAATACTGGGCTATTTGAACCTTTCCTGATGTATTGTATTTATGTATTCCCTCCTGAGTATGTTATTGCTGATATTAACCTAAATCTCTGTACTGGCCTTGACGTTTCAGGGTAACATAGAAAAGAGTAATTTTCATCAATTTGTTTAAATTGTACATGCATACTCTTCAAAGTCCACTTAAGTATGTTCGTCTTCTCTATATGACTATTTTAGTTTGTATCTTTTTATGACATGTGTAGTATGATCTTTATAAAGATCAAATGGTGAAAGACAGAAAAATATTTTTAACTTATCATTGTTTTTGTTTTTTTTTACTGTAGAATACTGCTACGGTGGAAAGAAAGAGGAAGCGGTGAGATTATATGGAAATATAAAGACCTCTATTTTTTATTTAACAAAACCATATTTCATGTATTTTAAGTTGTATATTAAAATAATTCTATCGACTTTATAAAACTGCTTCGTTACGGTTATTTTTTTAATTTTATTTCTGTTCTTTGTTCCTTGTGATCATTCTTACCTCTTCTTCGATTGAAAAACAAAAACTTTTATTTATAGGAACAGGCTAGAAAGAAGAAGATGCTCGACGAAAAGAGGGCCAAAAAGGAGAGACTTGAACGCTTGTTATTAGAATATCTCAATAGGAAATAAACTGTGCATTTACTAGGAAAGGAACAAACAGGAAGAGTGTTAAAGCATACAACGAAACCCAGATTCGCCCAAAGACGATTATTTTTTTTATAAGTTTAATTTTTTTAATTCTTTATCAATAAAGATTATTTACGCAATGTTTTTTTTTTCTTTTCTTTTCTTTATAAAGAATGTTTTTCAGTACGGTTCGGGTGGGCTTTATTTTGGCTTAAAATTTACTGTTCCTAAAAAGTTATGAAATTGGCTTTACCATGAGTTGAGTAGATGAATATGATGAATCATAAAAGAATATTGCATGAAGGAGGACTGTTCTGGAAATATGATGTCATTAATTTGATATATTTAAAAGTTATATGCAGATACACATGTAGGTATCAAATGACTAATTTTTTGTGGTTAGTGTCTGCAGCCGTCGCTTACTTCAATTTACAGGTAAATTGTGTAAAATACTTTGAAAAATCATGATGCATGCCAATTTTGAAAATTGAGTTCATGTTCTGGAAATATGATGTCATTAATTTGATATATTTAAAAGTTATATGCAGATACACATGTAGGTATCAAATGACTAATTTTTTGTGGTTAGTGTCTGCAGCCGTCGCTTACTTCAATTTACAGGTAAATTGTGTAAAATACTTTGAAAAATCAGTTGGCGATGCATGCACTGTATGTTTTCTCAAAGATAATTCTATTGAAAATTGAGTTCATGATGAAACACTTAGCATTTAGAAGGTCATATTGGAAAAACGATTTTTTTTACCGCATGGAATTTAAATAATTCAGAAAAAGATTAATTTTGATTTCGTACATCACTTCTGAAATAAAAAAAATACAGGACCAGATTTGTATTGACACCTTGTTCTTTCTTTTTTTCTTCAAATGATTATTTTTTTTTTCAATTTGACTTACAAACATGCCTCGCCAGGGTCCAATGCATATTTTAAAACAGCTGTTCTTTTATCAAAAATTATTTCATCATATAGAAAAATATAAGGACAAGAGGTGTTTTATGTAATTGTAAAAATAAAGTTCTATATAGGGTAATTTTATTTGGAATTTTTACTTCATCAGTTAATCTTGGATTTTAAGAACTGAAAAATATTAGTTCAAAAGGCGTACATGTACCGTATTCAAGCCACAAGTGTTTTATTTGAATTCAAACAATCCTAGATCCTCATCCACTTTCTTTGAAATACTCTTTACTTCTTCCTGTCTCAACAGGAAAAAACGAACCTGCATTTTATATTAATAATATTTCGATTTACAATAGTGAAAGTTTTGATTTACTAAAGCCAACTATAGTTCGTTTTGTTAGGGATATACTTCAAGTTATAGTATGGTGGATTGCAAAACTGAACATTTTTAGCTCTACTGGACAGAAACCGGAAGAGCTTATGCGATAGTTTGTCTGTCCGTCTGCGAACAATTTTTCAAAATGCTCATCCTCCTACAGTTTTGGTTTGATTCCAATATAATTTGGCACGTAAGTAGAATAGACTAAGATACATAATTATGTATATCGGTATTTGATTTTATAGAATTATATTGCTGTGGTTACAAAAAGTAGGAAATTATGTAAAATACTTTTAAAATGCTACTCCTCCTTTAGTTTTAGTTTGATTTTAATATAATGCGGTATGCAAGTAGACTACAATGAGGTACACAATTGTTTTTGTTGTTTATTGATTTTGATGTTACGATGTTGCTATCGTAACTACAATTGAAAGTTCTGTAATATTCTTTTAAAAGGCTACTCTTACAGTTGTAGTCTTACTGCAAATAGAGACTAAATCGAGGATCATTATTCTATTAATGCTGTTGCAAAGTTTCAAGTCCAACTGCTACTTTTCTCTTTCTTTGTTATAAGTACAAACCAGTAGAGCTACAGTCTAGACAGAGACTTCTGGTTTTGAATAAGAATGCTACTGTTGTTCATAACATTTATTCTGAAGTTTTAATAACTAAGGCGTTCAACTAGATTTTTGATCTTCCGACATACGTGGTGGCTTAAAAATCAGACCGACATGTATATAACAAACACTAGATTTTATTCTACAAAATAAGTTACAATCGGAGGTATTCAGATAAGTGATAAGCCCACCATTTCAAACATTAGATTTTTACGAGGGACGTTCAATAAATAATGTCATCAGCTCGATGACATACAACATGGAAATCATATGGCATTAAGCTTGACTTTCTCTAATTATTGAATCTTTAATGAGTTGATAACAGTTTATGTGATCACTTTTCATCACATAGTTCCATTGTGAGAAGCTGGAAAACAGGGGCTATTCGAGACACTGCATGCAAAATGAATAGTCAAGAATCAGTAAACTAGACAGAAATTAAACGCTCCATTAAAGCTGCTGTAAAACTTGTTAAGAATAATCCCAAAGATATATTAACTGAAATATGTGAAATTTACAGCAACCAATGTCTCTTTTATACACACTGGAGCAGGTGGATTTCAATGAACAAAAAGGATATAATGGGCATCAAAAATGGGTACCGTCATTGGCGACAAGGACATGCAACAACCAATGTATATTTGCAAAAATTCAACAAATTATCACTGAGTATGTTTGATTGACTTTAGGACACATAGCAAATTTGATAGACGTCATTTTGGGGGTTGTTCACACTGTTTTAAAGAAACATTTGATAGTAAAAAAGTTTAATACTCAAAGGTCACCCAACATTTTGAAAAATGAGTGAAAAGGACAGCGTGTAGGAATATCTAAACAATCTTTTTTAAAAAAATAAAAAGATATACTTATCCATGTTTGTCTGAAATTAATTCAAATTGATAATGAAACTTGAATACATTTTGCTTTAAACCCTCAAGACAAATTTACAATCAGATACACTTGACAAAACAGCGAAGGCCTGAAAAGAACAAAGAATTGCAAGAGCACAAAAACAGTTTTATATGCTATTTTCTTAAATATTAGTGGTCTTGTTGTTCAAATTCTTATTAGGGGAGTAATTTCAATATCTGGAAGAGTCTAGAAAGCAAAATTTTGCAAAAAATGAAAGCTTTATGAGAGGAATGAGCAAGAATGAGGAATTCACTACATTAAATTTCTTCAGGAAAGCGTCCTAACCCACAGGTACACGAATAATATTGGCCAGCTCTTTCAACCTTTGACTTGTTTCATTTCCCAAACTTGAAAAAAACACCTTTCAGAAAGAAAAAAGAAGTATAGGAAATCATAGGATCTGCCCTATTCCAGTATACGAAGGTTCATACTCAAAGATGTGTTCTAAAAACAATTAGAAAGTGAATAAAAATGTCACGGACATGTGTTTTAATTAAAAGAGAACATTTTAGTTTAATCATTAAGACTAAATCATAGAAAAGCGTTTTTTGTTTCTTTCCGAGCACCGATGACATTATTTATTGAACGTCCCTCGTATAAGGAAAATTCGGTTAAAAATCCTTCTTAAATAGTAAAACATAAATAAAATAATATAAGGATATAAAATATGTAGGATTATTGGAATCAAATATTAACAGGATCTCAGTTATAACTTCATAATGGTTGCCCTTTTAGTTGTGAATATATGGAGACGTTCTGACAAGTTCAAGTTGACACAGTAGGTTTGGAGCACAACGTTGCTATATCTCAGTTGCTATAATTTATGAAATACGGCATCAAAAGTTCAGATAATCATTTCAATTCCAGAACAGAATGTTCGATATTTAGTTCAAATAACAAAACACAGGACATATGAGTTTTTTTATTGCAATACTGAATTAAAAAATACACCTAATCAATGTTTTACATTGTGTATATTTAACGCCACTTTCTTTTATTCTTGAAACAAAATTAAACTTAAAACAAATTAAGAACCAATACCTTATTTTAACGGAAACTTTCGCCTTCAAAGATTAACATGCAACACAATAGAGATCCAATAGTCAAACACTAATTACTGTGTTAGCATTCTTAATACTTACAAGTGAAAGAAAACCTTATTTACTCAAAGTAAATAAACATTAAGTTAAACATCATGCCAACCTAAAGTTACTTTAAACACTATTTACACGGAAAGCTGCTTCTGTGTATCTCTGAAAACAGCGGCTCTCTGTATTATTCAAACTCAGAACCTCTACATTATTCTAGACACAGAACAATCTCCCAAAGATTGTCTTCAGTATCAAACTTGTAAGAGATAATGGCACAGCAAAAAGCTTTTGCTGTTTTACTTGGAATTCTGGTAAATTGTGTATTGGTTTCAGGTATGATATCATTTACGTTTTATATTTTACTCCCAATTATTAGATTTTAGTTGAAAGATTTAATAATAGAAGTAAACAAATTTAATAAATTTCCCTAAAATTTATACCTTATTATGAAGTTAACAATTATTCCAACAGGTTTACAATTTGATTGGGCTTATACATAAAAATAATTTCAAATCTTAATATATGTTTTATATTATATATTTTTTTTATTTTGAAGAATGGAATGAATATCTAGTAATTTCATAAAATGATTATCATCTTTCCAATTGAAGTAAGGTGTTAGACGAATTATTCAAAGGGGCAAAAATTAGGGAATAACTATCTTCTAATTTGGTATTTGCGACCGTTAATGCAAAAACGCGTAAGCGGAGCCGGGTTGCGACCGTTAAATATATAAAAAAATATATTAGTTATTCCCATTCTAATACAATCCATGCATTTTGTTTGTTGTCTACGTCTTATTTTGATGAATTTTGTTACATGAAATACGTCACGGAGCATTGTGTTTTTGCGTCGCTCTATTATGACGTCACAATGAAAAAGCTTCCACGCTCGATAAGCTTCAAACATCAGTGCATTGGCTAATATTTACATTTCCAATAAATTTCCCCAATGATTCTTTACAAAATAAAATGCAGTATATTTTCTCATGAACTACATTAGGTATGTATCACGAATAAGCATGAATATCTCCATTGTTACGTCATAATACCGCACTTGACGTCAAAAAGTCAAAAAATATAGTGCACACTGTTTTGTTTTAAAAACGACAGTTGAACGGCGTAAATTTATGGCAAGTCATCAGAAAAATAATGTAAATATAAGATATGAATTTAATTTTTGAAGATTCATGAGGTATATGAACTACAACACGGCATATTTATCATGAAACGCTAACGCGCTTCATGAAATACTAACACGTGTTCATAAATGAATCTTCAAAAATTAAATTCATTTCTTAAATCAAAAAGTGTTTTACAAAACTATTCATATTTATAGCAAGGAAATATAGGAAAAAATTGGAAGTACCCCCCCCCCCCCCCCCCCCCCCCCCCCCCCCCGAAATAGGATTTTCGAGTTTGGGCAATTTTTTAATTTTCCGTTTTTTTTTTTTTTTTTTTTTTTTTTTTGCTTGCCAACTTTTTCAGGTAAGTTAAAAAAAAATTCTCTTGTTGGCCCCCCACTTTCAAAAACGATGCTACGTGCCTGCTATTGCATTAGAATGTAAAAAGTATACTTCTTGTCTTACATTAAATTTCCAGCGCTGTTCGTGAATTTGCATCAACAGAATTTAGGCCGTCCTGAAACTAACATGTGATCAATAAAAACATTTTTAAAAACATCTGTCATGAAATTAATTCAATGCCATTGTTACTTGATACTTGTGCGCGATTCACATTTTAATTTTGATACTATATTTAACAAATAGGATTTTACTACGTCATGAATGAGATGACGCCATCAGCCGCCAAATCACACTGCGAGTCCCTAGGCTTGAGGCTGGCTGTTTTTGAAACCCAAGCTGAATGGGAAGAGGCCAGAGCTTTTCTTAATACACACAATACAAACTGGGGGTAAGATCTTATAGTTTTTTTAAATTAGTATCTAATAAAACACATAGTAAATTTGGGTAGACGCTGCATGTTGTACAGTTATAAATACAGAAATGTGACACATTTTATGTGAATTTAAAAGTGTCTGTAAGGCACCAACCAGAAAATTTTAGTTAGCGACTGTATTACATTTTGACCGTATTGCAACAAGAAGAGGTAATTGGTGTAGGGTGACCAACTTGTCAATCATAATTCCATTCTATATTAATTTTTAAAATTTCTTTCTACCCTCGTTCCCTCTTGATTCTATAAACATGTACCTGATTAAGAAGTTGTCTTATAAATGTAACCACTTCAGTCTTAAATAGAAAGAAAAACTAGTAATTCAAATCCTTTTTTCAATTTTTTTTTAATTTTGAATGTTACACAATTTTCCTCAGAAAGAGCAAAAATGTGTCGATTGGGCTACAGAGAGATCTTGCACAGTCTGGATTGGTGTATAAGTGGATAGATGGATCGGCACTTACTTGGGGCTCATTTTACAATATTCCTTGGAAGGACGTAAACACACCAGTGGATGATCCGACTAAAGCATGCGTAAAAATGGAATGGGGATCGGACCTCCGGTGGAAACATCACGACTGTGCTGCCACAGAGGACTTCTTGTGCGAGGGTTAGATAAAAGTATTAAATAAAAAGAATTATAAATACAATACATGAGTAAAAGAAAGCCAGAAGTATATTTATAAATATCGTATAAATACTTACATTTAGCATGAAAATATTCAACATCTTTTATATGTATCCCTGAGCTCTACCATTTACTGACCTTTCAAGATAATCTATTGGCCACCTGCATGACTGGATGGTGTAGGTTCATCCTGTGAGAGGCTTCATATGGATGTAATACTGTAATTTAAACGAGCAATGAACACGAGTCATATAAGTTAGAGTATTGGATAACACGGTGGTTAATAAATAATATCAAAGTGTCATTGATGAGGCAAAGTCGAAGTATAAAAAAAATCTTTTTTTCGAGAGCCTTTCTTTCTCTCCCTCTCTTTCCAAAATATTTGCCCGCGTGGCGCATTGGTTAGAGCGTCTGCTCTAGAGTCGCGGAGTACATCTAAGGAGTTTATCCTTACATCGCGGTTTCTAATCCCACTGTGGAGACCAGTCCTTCGGATGAGACCGTAGAAACTGAGGTCTCGTGTCGCAGGAGGTACTGGCACGAAAAATATCCCTCCCTGCTCAATGGCACTGAGTGCCGAGTATAGGACAAAATTTGCAGCTGTCCACTGGCAATTAATCCATCTTCCCAAAATAGATGTTGTTTATGTATGTATATTTTGCACACAAGAATGAAGTAAATATTGATCTATAATACTAGTATTACATTTAATTTAAGGCGTAGAACAATTTCAAATTAAAGATATTCTTTTAACTTGGTTAAAATTCAGTTAATATCAGTTGGTCAAGTTTGATTTTTTTTCTAATTTAAACAATCGTATACTTAAGGTTTCTTTATGAATCCTTCGACCTCATCCGGTTGGTACGATGCTAAGTCTTCTTGTGAGGGTATGGGGATGAAACTTGCTTCTCTTAAATCGGACGAAATTCAGCAAGCTGCAGAAAAATACATTGCAATCACATTTCAAAATGCAGGGTAAGTGACTTATATCGGAACTATACAATACATTATAACAAACGACAAAATATTTTTTAAAAAAAATGGATATTCTTCTGCACAACAGTATACTCAAATGGACAATGGGGTATCGCTTTGTGAAATTTATGTTGAATTCTCAGTTCCTCTAGTTTAACCTAAAACTGTGGAAGTTTGTTTGATTAGGTCTTCTGGTGATGTATGGCATGGTCTGTATAAAACTACCAGTAGTTTGTTCACCTTCGAGGATGGAACAGCTTGCACATCCGGAGCATTTGGATGTACCGGATATACGTATCCTTGGGTATCATCTGAACCCGATTCGTCTGCAGAGTGTATTCGCTTAAAATACATCAGCTTTGGCCAGTATAAGTGGGCGGACAATGGATGCACCAACAATAGGAAATATTTATGTCAGGGTGAGTTTTTTCGATTACTTCATGTAATTACATCTAATTCATTCAAGAGTTTTTTTGTTAAATCAAAATATTTCAATTTTAATTCACAAGGCGTATGGAAATAAACAAAACTTATTCTATTCCTCAATCTTTTCTTCGTTAGATATACAAATTTTCAGAAATTGCAAATGCACATTCTGTATAATTGTATAATGAAATTTGAGAGAGGATGGTTAGAAACAAGTTGCAATTTTTTAAACATACTTTATTGAAAGTACATTTTATTGTTTAAATTTATCCTTTTATAGAGATTGCTTCTTACTGGTCAAATCATGACCCTGAGGGATAAGATGGTTCTTAAATAAGATTCAAATTTTCAGATTGAAGTAATTTAAAGTCTTCTTTCAAAGAACCACTTGACTAGAAAGGATAAATTTTATAATTATGTAATAATCTTCTAGAAATATTTTATGTAGATTTTCATTTTTTCTAATCAGGTAACCGACTGTTTCCTTTTTTTATTTTGTAGTGAAAATTTACATAATTATCATTAATGAAAAAATAGCTGGACCCAATAGTTAGAAAATATTACATTTACATCATTGAAAAGATACATGAAATCACCCCCTCCCCACACTCTGGAAATCGCAGATTCCTTACTGATTAGAAATAAAATAGAAAAATAGAAAAAACGTTTCCTTGAGTTGCTTTCCTCCCAAATCGTATATTATTTTCTATAGGTTGGTATCAACAAAAACAAATCTCTTAAAAGCTCAAGATTACATCATTCTAATATTTCTGGACCCCCCCCCCCCAAAAAAAAACCCGCTAGTATTTCAACCTGATTTATAGCATCTCTATATCAGCTCTCCGTCGAAACATGGCTGAACAATTTTGGACGTGGCGTTAAACAATATACAATCAATCTATTTCAGCTCAGTTTACACCGATTACCACCACCACAACAACAACTACAACGACAACGACGACGACGACGACTACCACAACGACGACGACGACAACACCACCGACAACCATAACGACGCTCCCAAAGACAACCACCAAACCGTGGTGGTTCGTGGAATATAGTGCAGACGGTAAAGCAATTGGCGCGAATGGAAAGGTATAACAAAAACACAATGAATTGAACAAAACATGAGAGCAGATGATCAGTTAAATTGATTGATTGATTGCTGTTTTACGTCCCATTGAGAATTTTTCACGCATATAGAGACGTCACAATATACCGTTAAAGGGCTTCAAATTTTGAAATGTATATACTTGACACTCAGGGCCTTTGAGTATTGAGGGATCTTTATCGTGTCAACGCCTGCTGTGGCACGAGACCTTGGTTTTTGAGATCTTATTCGAAGGACCTGCAACTTTCACTTATGCTGCCGAGCGCATGGCGAAGGAACAGTTACTTTTTTTCTCGACTTAGGTCAGTCGCGGCCGAGATTCGAACTCACGACCTCCCGATCACGGAGCGAGCGCTACCGTGCATTGTCAGTTAGACTGAAGAACAGGACGAAATTATCAATATGCAAAGCTATAGCCAATGATTTAGCAGAATGGCCATACCAGTAGATATATACCCAGTGGCAAGTTATTTCATATTATAATATAATGATAAAGTAAGACATGCAAATCGGCTCATAATTTCAACAAAATAGAGGAATGTACATCAACAAATAATGGAAGATTTTAGTTAAGATGTTATTTTTACTTTTCTTTTCAGACATTTGACGAGTCAAAACCACCAGCTAGATTCGGCATTATAGGTCTCGCCATAGGGTTTTCCACATTCATTGTGCTGATGACCATCGTCTGCGGTTTGTGGTTTTGTTGTATAAGGAATAAAGACGATTATCGATTTGTAGAAGAGGAGGAAGAGGAAAAACCTAAAGGAATAAAACCCCTCACTCAGAAACCACACGGGATCAAGTACATTGCATAGGATTGTCATAACATGGAATATCATCCATCACCTCGCAAGAAATACCTTAAAACTACAAGCTTTAACTTTTAGTATTTTTCTAACTCATATTGACAATAATCATCAAATTTTATTTCTTTCACCAAGAATGCGGTTTATACATTTAAACAGTTTATAAGTAAATACATTTTATAAAAATGGATATTTATATACTAAACATTTATTGACTTTTTTTTTTGTTTTTGTTTGTTTTGAAAAACTACCTACTTTTTGCTTTCAAATATATATTCAAGCAGCAAACATTCTTCAATGCCATTAAAATGCAAAAGCGAAAAAAGAATTAATCTTTTATTTCAAGATCACCGGGATATGTCCTATCGACATAACACTGGAAATAATCATTGTTAATTGATAGCACGTCGTCGATGTATTTGAATATCGAGTTGAAGGCCACAAGTACAGCAAGTGTTTTCTTCTTTTCACGTACGAGATTTTGGACAAAATCTGTTTCACATGAATACAGTAATAGGTCTGCTGTTAACGGGACTCAATTGGTACCCATGTGAATACTAATAGATTGTTGGAAGACATGGTCTCCAAAAATCAAATATATATTGTCAATCAAAAACTCAAGAATATTTTGTTATAAACTTCAGATTACTTGTGTGTACAATCAGATTGTTTCTAACAAAATAAATTTACAAATGACCGATGACCAGGTAAGTAAATTTACGAGTTCTAATTTTATTGAAGAAGCAACTGTCAATGATGTTAAAAAAGCCTGGACTTTATCATGGCGAATAGTTGCATTTAAAGTTGAAAAGTAGTTTTTACGTTGTTGATTTTGGTAAATATTTGTAATTTCAAATGTGCCAAACGATCCCTAAAATTTCTAAGTATACACAAATATGCTTGTTCGGCTTTAAAGGACGGCTTTCATAAAAATTTCATATGAATTTATAAGATAGTTTTAGTTCTGCCAAATGTTTTTCAAGCGCATTTTATACATAAAACACCATTGTTTCTAGTTGATATCAAAAAGTTTTTAATATCAAATTTTTGTTCTGTAGATATTTAACTTTAAAATTTTAACATTTTTTTAGGTTAAAAGGGTGTCTTAATTTATCTTGAAAACTTTGTTAACAAAGCATCAAAAAATTAAAACAATGACATCATGGACATGCTTCTAAGGAAAATAAAACAATATATTAGTATAACATGGTGATCTCTATTATGAGCTGTTTACTGTCTTTATCCTTACAGGGATAGAAGGTCTGTTTGTTTACATGTATTTTCTTTTTATTTGTAAATATTTGTATATTTGTTTGTATATTCTCGAAGTATGTTAAATTTATTTGTATATTCTTGAAGTATAACTTTGCAATAAAAAGGAAAGATTCCAATTTTACAAATAAAATTAATAAGGTTAAGACCGTCATCAGGATCAACAATGAGCAATTAAAAGAGTACACAGTGACACATTACTTATCAAGGATATCTTCTTATCAAATAATTGAGAATAATTTGTATGATATTTTGGGTCCGTATAACACTTTACAATTCAAATTTCTAAAAAAAAAAAATGATTTAGAGTTTTAGGAATGTAACATATTCTGCGAAATTTTTAATAAAAAAAAATAAACTGCTTTCGTATATTATGAGTTGAATATATATTACGGTGTTTCGCAATTTATCAATTATTGTTTGCGTGGGTGTCATTTAGAGTGTTTGGGTTGATGGCTTCTCGGTCAAAATGTCTTTTTTGGCAAAGGCAAATACGCAACACTCAACCCATTTGCATTTTAAAATGCAATATAACGCTTATTTTGTATAAAGGCACCCTGGGAATTCAGGAGGGAAGTGTATTTTGTGACAATATCTGATCTATCTGAGTTATTTATATGAAAGTTGCTATTATTTTCTTTATTATCTGAGGTATTGTCGAGAAGCTATTAAGGTCACCTGTACAAGAAGGAGGTTCCATCTCGACGCATCCTGAGAGATAAAATCTACAGAAGTAGGATTCACGCAATACCTTGTCTGCATTGTCAGTGACATTTGAAATACCCCAGTACATTTTTAAACAAGGTTAATATCCAGTCTGATTTATTACATCTCGATTGACAAAACACACTGTATATCATTTAACAGCTCTTATACAATACCTGTTGTTGATATTCAACGTTAATTATACAGCCAACCTTTCTTGCAAATACATGTTCATGTGTGAAGGTTACATTACGTTTGGGTTAACCTTCTTATCTCAAAAAATTTAGGAAAAGAGATATTTAGAGTCTGTAATTTTTTTGCCTTTTTTGTTCACATTGACGGATTTAGTCTTACCTCGTTCGTGACCAATAAATTAAGCCACTGGTACAAATAAGTCCCATAGCTCCATTTCTGAAGCGTAAATTCTTCAAAATCATATGTCAGCTTTGAAAATGTTTTATATTCCCAGCAACCAAAATGAAATTGAATTACCATATCTATATTGGATTCCAAAATTTGCCGCAAATCCTTAAAGATACATAGTAATTGTTTTATCAAGCTTCTCCCTCTTTGCTCATCACTAAGATATTTACTGTATATAATTGAGGAAAAACTTCAAGAATATTTTGTAACAATATATTCAAAAAGTTGTGTAAATCAGATGTGGAAGCTAAAAAATTCCAAGGAACTTTTGGAACATTTAAAATCACTATATTGTACCGAAATCAACAACATAAAAACTTTTAACATTATATCCAAGTTGATTCCTCAGGATAAAATCCTGACTTCATTAACAGCTAATTTTTATATAAAAATGAAACTCGTACTTACAATGTCATTGGTCATTTGAAGAATTTCTTTGAAAAAAATCAAAATGATTGTAGACACAAGTACTTTAAAATTTATATTTAGAAGATGCTTGTGTTTCTGATATACAATATCTATGTGTCTTTTTCCAACAGTCTGTTTGAATTCCCATGGGTACAAATTGCGCACCTGTATAAGCGGATCTATTTTGTATTCATATGATGCAGAAATTGTTCATAAATCTTTTACGTGAAAACAATAAAGGCCTTGTTGTGGCCTTCAACTCGATATTTAGATATTTACAATGGTTATTTACATTCTTATGTCGATAATTTATATCCAGGTGGGCTTAAATAAACGATACCACAGAGTCTGACACATTTCTCAATGGTGTTTTAACATTCATTTATCAATTTTAGCAGGTCCATTAGCTCTTTCCTTTCTTGAAAGATGCATTGAGTTACCCGGTCTGTATATGACCTTCATCTTCAGGGTGAATGAAACTGTTTCCTAGATTAAGCACGTCAATATTGGTATATCCAAGCGCTATTGTACATTTTCCTTCATTTTCAAAGTTTTATGGGTTTTATGGGTGCAAAGTAGAAAAATGCAATATTTTTACTGCATATAGTCAAAATAACTAAAACAGTAAATAAAACTTTAGGTAGTCATAGCTTTTAAGACATTTGAAAATATTAAACAGAAGTGTATGTCAGCATAAATATTCTTCATTTCTCGTAAACAGCATTATAAACGTTTGGTAAAAACTGGGTAAAATGCATAATTCTGATGATGTGACAAAACCTTCCTAATTACACTAAAAATTTTCCCCTCGACCTTGACCTTGAAGTTTGACCTACTTTTCCATAACTTTTGAATTAGAAGTGATAAGGCTTTCATATTAAAGCTGTGTATTGAGTGTGAAGTGTCCTTTCTAAATACACTGTGTTTTGATCTGTGACCTTGACCTTGAAGTTTGACATACTTCTCAAATTTGTTCATTTTTCCTCATAACTTTTGATTGAGAAGAGATAGTGTTTTCATATTTGACATTTGCATTACCTGTGACACGATTTTTTCGAGCATGCTATGATTTCTGATCCCTCGACTAATGCGATTGACCTAATAAAAAAATCAACTTCGGGGATAACTTCTGAATGATATATGATAGAAGTTCACATTTTACACAATATGTCATAAAAAATTACATTTCACCCACACAAAAAAACGGGGGACCAAAATTCTTTAAATTTGCTTGTTGTGCTCCTTTATTTACTGGCATGTTTGCATATTCCTATGATTTATCGATTTATTGTATGTTTTCATACGCCCCGTTCGAGAATTTTTCACTCATACGGAGACGTCACCATATACCGTTGAAGGGCTAAAATTTCTTTGTTAAAAATCCAAATGATTGTACTCACAAAGCCTTAATTCGGGCTGATTAATAGGAAAGTGAAGGTAGATGAGTGAAAACTTTAGATATTTTTAGTTTTTTAACGTTTCTAAGTCGATAAAATTTCCACTTTTACAGTACTATAATACATTTTTGATTTCAAGCATTTGTATTTGAATTGTGACTGTCATTTTATACAAGTTAATGGTAGGAACATTTATACTTATCGATCGTGAAAAAAAAAGTATATACATGTAAAACTGAAATAAATGTGAATTTCAAAAACATATCTTTCGCAATTGTATATCCAGTTGTTATTAGAAATTTATTAGTACTTGAATCTTTATGTATATTTATAAATATTCTAAAAATTAAACGAAGATGTCGGGAAAAAACATTATAATTGTTATCAGTCATGTACACCGTCGAATCTTTTTTTCAAAATCCTTTTAAGTGTGATCAAGTTTTTTTTTCTTTGTCCCTAAAGGAGTATTACAGAATTGTATCCAAGGATATATAATACCAATTCTTTCTTTTCTTGTTTTTTTTTTTATCGTAACCCTTGAGCATTTTCCCAATTTCGAAAGATTTTCCCAGAGCTATATAAGCCTGTTGCAATCCCCAAACCCCTACAGAGCACCAAACCAGATTGAAACTTCAACAAGATGCATAAATTAGTGGTGGTTGCAGCGTTGGTTGTCGGCGCCTTGGCATTGCCAATAAAGGTAAGAATAAAAATTTGTTTAAAAAAAAGTTAGTGTTAACATACTAATTATTCAGTAGGTGTCAGCTATGTTTTTACTATAATATGTTTTACTTGATAAATCATTGGAATAAAACACAAGAAAAGTTTTGCAAAGCATACAAAAGTTCGAAACAAATCGCACCTTTTTTTCTCTAAAATTTTTATGCATTTTATTTCTAATTTTGTCTAGTGACTATTCAGTGTATAGGTTTAGATAGTAATAAAGGAGTATCTCTTCAGTTTCAGGTTAAATTTTATAACAAATGTAAACATGTTTGCTAACACGGAAGAATATACCTACACCATATTTTGTTAAAGTATCCAATTGTGTTTCAATTTTTTACATTGTCATACACTAAAATCCTAAGAATTGCAAACGATAGAAAAAGAGTTAATCTATTTGGGTTTTTTTTTAAATATGTATAAATAATATGGTCATTTTTCCAAGCACATTTGAAAATCTGATGATGACTTCAAGCCTGCTGAGTATAGCTTATGAAATTCTCCTGCTCATCCGAAGAAATCATTTATAAAACACTAACCGCGTCAGTTTAGTACTAGAAGTGCATTGAGTTTGTCTCCGTATTTTAATTGGTAAACGTTTTTAAAATCGAGATCTTTTTTGAAGATTTGAAAAAATAATTTGCATTCTTAAAATATAAATCTTTCCTGATGTTTCATCTTACGTTTTAAAGGTGAAACCTGTTTAATTTGAATGTGGTTTTCTCTGATCATGGACATACTTATTTTGCTTTTTATTCAGATATTCAAGTTACACTAAATGGGGAAAAAAACATTGTCAATAATTTACTATTCCTTGTTTTACAGAGAGAAGATGACTACAATCACTGGGTAGACGCCTATGGCGCTGACAACGAAGGTGATCATTTTCACAGTTGTGTAGAATTCCTAAAATATTCTTTCTCAAAAGGAATTTTTAAGCCATTTTAAGCACTTGTTGTTGTTTTTTTTAAAAATATTTTTTACTGATTCAAATTTCTTACAGTCTACCTAGAACCATTCTATAAAATAAAAATGTTTTTATTCCGATTCTGAATGCTTCCCAAAGCCAATTTATTTTATCATTCAGGATACAGTATCTATCTGCTCATGATTATCAGCATAATGAATAAAGCGATGTAGAATTACTGAATCAACATTTTTTGTAATTCTAACAACACCAGCATTATGGTTTTTCATTTTCTTAATATTCTTTATCTTATGGGGCTCATCGCCCGCGTAGTTAGAGCGTCTGCTCTAGAGTCGCGAAGTAAGGAATCGATCCTTACTTCGCAGACTCGAATCCCACTGTTGGACGTGGAGACCGGAGCTTCGGATGAGACCTTACATACCGAGGTCCTGTGTCGCAGAAGGTGCTAGCTCATAAATGAAAACCCTCACTGCTCAATAGCTGTAAGTGCGGAGTTTAGGACAAAATTTGCATCTCTCCCGCGTCAAGTCGTGGCTTTTCGATATGAGTGAAAAATTATCGAGTGGGACTCTAAACAACATAAATTCATTCATTCTTATGGGGCTCAAATTAAATTTACGTTGAAGTTAAAGTTTTTTTAAACTAGTCATATTTTTATCCAAAAAAAGGTAATTATGATAAAAAGAATTAAAGTACCACTGTAACCCTATAATTGACTTACTTTGTAATTAAATATGGACAGAATAACTAAACTTTAGTAAAAGCTGTGAAATCTTCACTATAAGAATTTCCTTCCTCAGATGTGGCGGGACTCAGCGAGGAACATTTTCAGCATTACAGACTGCTCCTGCTGAGAGACCTTGGAGGCCTGGACTATATCGTCTCAAGCCTTCTTAACCCTTGTAAGTAGTTAACATGTATTGACTTAATTCAAAGGTAACATCCATTTTCTATAATGTCGGACCCAACAATGAACTGTTTGCCAGGGGCCCTCGGGCTAAAGGTAAGGGTTTGGTTTGAAGACTTTACAAAATCGCATTCAATGAACGTTGTGTTACGGATTTTGCAGGGTCAAGGTTTTAAACCGAGGCAGGCTACTGACAGATAATTAGATGTTACTAGGACAGCCTCGTTAATGTCGGTACTTAGTAAATTTCTATGGCATAATAACGACCTTGTCAGCAAATATTACCTAGATTATTTGCATTGTCGTAGGCCTTTTATTTTATACTGATTTATCTGCGGAAGTTTCGTCTACCCTATTAATATGCAGGGCTCACTGCATGTATGTCAAGTCAACAAGGGGTTCTTGCTCCGTTAAGACACGTAATTTCACCTCTGCATTTTCTAGGGTTATGTGTTTTATGTCCTCTTTCAGATTTCTATTTTTCACTGAAACTTTTCTTTTAGATTTATCACTGTTCGTCCACCTTTAATTTATCTAAATACAGGGCTGCACAGTCTAGAAGCTTGAAATGTATATAATGGAAGCTTGACCTTAGAGTATTTTCATTTATCGGCTATGCCAAATGAACTCAGTTAAATTGAAAAAACATTAATTTAATGCAAATACGACCTTGTCTTATAGACAAATGTAATTGACGCAAAAAGTTAAAGACGTCAAACAACTAACTTAACATCTATTGCTTTAATTTAAAAAAATATTAATATATTGTATTTTTTAAGTTTTGTAGGAAACAATTTCTGTAGGTATAACAAAACATTTGTCGAATAAGGTTTTGACAGACCCATAACTTTTTCATCGTTTTACAGAATCAGGCATACGATTTGACTGCTTCAAGAAATCCGAAATTTTATAATTCATTATCCTTCGTTTCTTTTTTTATATTTAAATGTGTTCAGACACAGAACAGTTTCTCTCTTGTTTTTCTTTATTGAACACAAGAAAAATACATCATAGTGATTTTTCACTACATTCAGTCATTTGTGTATATAAATTCATATTAAAAAAGATCTTTTATAATTTTTAGATCTTCATGAGGAACTAAAGAATAGCTACGGACATATAGTTTTGAGTTCAATTCATTGGTTTATACATGTTGCTGGAACGACTGAAAAGGATTTAGGTAGGAATTTAGAAGAAAAAAAGTGTATGTAATTAACCATAAAAATACTTTCTGAACATTTCACCGAACGTTCCGTACAACTTGTCTCTGAAGAAACTTATATTTTTAGATTCAGAGAGCAAACCCCAGGAAAAAGGCTGTGAAGGTCTGTCATTTCTCCTTCTCAATCTTACTAGTATATGTAATTAAATTATCTTACCAAACAATGCAAGTTGAACAATTATAATAATTAAAAGTAGTTAATTTATTAATTTAAATTTGATCTATCCTTTCTTTGACTCTATTTTTTGTGTTCATATTTTACCAGACAAATCCAGTTTTCCTCAGACTAGGAAGGACTGTGACGGGTTGTTTGGACACATCCTCTGGAATATGAGAGAGACTATAAAAGAAGCTGCCTCGGTCTTAAATGATCCAAAGGATTCAAGTACGTATATATTTTAAGTAAAGGTTGTGCCACATACTCTAAACCAACGTTTATTCGCGTGCGAAAAATATTTCGATATTCGCGACATACCGGTACTTTAAGTCGCGAATCTTGTTTGCCGCAAACCATTCACTTCGCTTTGTGTTTGTAGAGAATGTTTTCTCAATCGTGAAAATTAATTGTCGCGAATTGTTCTCAATTACTGACGAATCGTGAATGAAAGATGACGCGAAAAATTGTCGGTTTACATTTTTTTAATCATTCTATTTCTCTTAAAAGATGCGTACCTTTCTTTATATATGTTATAATGTTATTTTGCAACTAATATGGAGGATCCCTACTCTTCTCCCATTATTTGACCACACAACGTGAAGACGTTCAGTCGTCAACATATCTTACTTATATCAATATTTTCATATCACCTGCATACGGGGTTTATATATCTTAGTAGATTTGATATGCCAGATCATGCTCTACGTTTGAACAATTTATAAAGTGAGGGAAGTTATTGACAAACAAATTAATGAAGCAAGAATATCGGCTGTCTCGTTTAAAGTCATCATTTCATAAGTTTTTTTTTTTTGTCGATACATTGTCCTTGTGACATCAAATACGATCTTTTATTTAGTTAAATACCGACCTACGATTTTCATACATATTGTTTGGTCAATATTTACATACTGAATCATCGATGGATTTTCCCGTTATTTCCAGATTGCTAGTATAACAAGAAGCAAGCGGCAGGTATGGTCGGTCGGCAGTATATGCCTGTGTCCTTAATTGCTCCTGATTGCTATTTTTAAAATATACTTTTGAGCTTGAATATTGTTCGCTATTTTCATTGGCTTTAATTTTCTGCCTATCAAGACTTAATTAGAATATGTTGTTTCTCGACAAAACCAGGGAAGTTATACAATAGCAGATAGTTATCATGATTGAGGCTATCATAAAATAATGATCTGGACGGAATAAAAATAATAGAATAAGTTTAAGTTGAACTTTCAGTGCAAGTATAATCGATAGAAAATATGCATGTAGCTATGAAGTCAAATTTTACAAATCAGATTATTCGATCCAGGCACACCCCTTGTTGTACAAATAATAGTATTTTTACGGATTTCCTAATAGTAAATTTGGAGTATTTAGGCGATACCATCAGACCGAGTTGCAGTTCACCCTTTTTTGACCCAGAATTAATATATCATACTTAGATTCTATCATTACAAATTTATACGTCATGTATAAGTGACTCATACATATGTCAACCACAAACCTTCAAGAAGATGAGATTATGTTTTTAAGAGTTCTGGATCCGACAATGAAACCTTGAAGGCAAATTTGTTGAAACGTTTTATTACCTTTAACTTGCAAGTCTTTTATGATTATTTTCCATTTCTTAGGACAAGGGAAGCTCAAAGCAGTGAAGACATTTGTGGACAAAATTGCTGACAAAGGACCTTGTGTCCTCGAATTAGCAGGTGATATATAGACATTAATAATCATTATATAAATTAATAAATAATGATTTAGAGTGAGAGAAAAATAGAATAAATACTATAGGATCCGATCAATCATATTGATGTAAATTGTGATCTGTGTGTAAAACAAACAAAACGACAGTTTTTTCTAAAATTTAAAAACGTATACACAAATTCTGTTTTATTTACAGTACACTGCTATATGAAAGACGTAAGTATTAACATTTATGAGTTTTTTGCTGAAAAAAAATTGATTTTATCTCAAGTTTGATTGATTATATGTTGTTTTACTTCCCGTTCGAAAATTTGATACAGGGAGTTCGAAACATATAATAACTATTCAAGGAAAGTTTATATGTATCTTTAATATAACGTCATTTACAAATAAATGCAGTTTGTATGAGTATACAAATAAATACTTTGTTAAAACGGTTCACATTTAGAAAATAGGATTTTGGTACAATCATAATAAAGAACAAAGTTTTTCGTTTTATGAATAAAAACAGCATAAGTTCTTTTATATTATAGGAAGTGGCCAGAGAGATGAGTGGGAATGAATCACCGGTGGAGAAAGCAAACAGGTAGGTAATATTGTATATTCATGGAAACAAAGCAGGGGATCTCCCCTTAATATTTTTTTTCCAAACATATTTTTACCGTTCCACGAAATGGAATTTTTCGAGTTTGGACAGTTCTCTTTTTTTCTAGATGTCTCCTTTTTTTTCTTTGACTAGTCAATTTTTTTCAGGTTAGGCCATGCAAAGTTAATTACTTGGTTCTCAGGCCTTTTTTCAAGAAATATGATGAGGGAGGGAGGCATTTTTTTTTCTTTTTAATATATTGCCCCCAAAACATGATGAGGCAGCTTTTTACATTGTACAAAACCTCAAAAAATGATGAGGGAGGTGATTTGGTGTTTATATTTTATTGATTTAGCAATAAAAAGGGTCAATGAGGCACCCTTGGAAGAGATGAGGGAAGGCCTGAGAACCAAGAAATTAATTTTTTTTTGCCTTATTTGATTTTTTTTCTTTTACTGACCCCTCTTTCAAAAACAACGTTTCGTCCCTTATTGAATACCCAAAACTTAGTCTTATATATAAATGAAGCGTTGAAGATGGAAACTATGTGACTGTCTTTCTTTTAATAATTGCAGATGGACAATGGGGGAAAAGTGATAATGAGACCAAACACGAAACTCCTTCTGGAAAATACAGATACAATACCATTATTGCACAATGGAAAACCGACCGGACTGTCAATGGACTTTCTTTATCATAATATATCTCCCTTTTTTAATTTTTTTCCCTCAAAAATGCTATAATAAGCACTAATTTGATTTTTCTTGATTGTTTTGAATAAAAAAGTTACCTTTTATCTCCTTTTCTGTTATTTTGAGGTAAAGTAGAGAAGTGGTCAAATAGTGTGTAAACTGACACAAAAGATATATCTGGACGATAAGCTATATTTTGTAGTCATTAAGTTTCATCTTTTTCTTTATATTTTCAAATGGTAATCAATCATTTGCCCTATCTCATAATAAATATTAATCTCGTTTAAGAAAATATTCATACGTAGAACATGTTCTTGGGTATCAAATTAACTGAAAGATATGAACCCTTTTGAAGGTGATAAGAGCATACATGTATTCATACTCTGCTTAAGTAGAGGAAATTAAAAAAAATTTCATTGTGTATCACAAAGGTTTGTTGAAAAAACTTATTAACAACTTTTTCGAGTAAAATTTCTCAAAATGAAACAGATGCATCATCAGAATCTGTTGTATGTATTTTTAATCTCAATCTCACTGGGATATATTGTGTCGATATGTGAATGGAAACTATTATTAAATGATAATACGTCTTTGATATATTTTATTGTCGATCGCGAATTGAAGGCCATGGCAGGTGTTTTCATTTTCTTAAGTATAAGATTTTGAATAAATTCTACTTCATATGAATACAAAAATGGGACACATAGGAATCCCAACGTTTTATTGGAAGAATTAGTCTCCAAGAACACATACTAGATATTGTCAATCAAAAACTCAAGCATCTCTTTTATATCTAATTCAGAGTAGTACTTGTGTGTACAATCAGAATAACAAAATAATTTTCAAATGAACAATGACAAAGTAAGTAAATTGAAGAGTTCCATTTTCATATTTTAAAAAAAGCAGCTGTCAATTATGTCAAAAATCAAAAATCCTGGACTTTAATAAAGCGTGATAATTGTTGTGTGTAAAGTTGAAGTCGTAATGTTCTGTCATTGTAATTGGTACAGTTTTGTTAAGTCATATTTTCAAAAATTTCCATGAATTTTTTTAAGTATCTACATCTGATTTACACCACTTTTCAAATACCAGGTATGTTTTGCACAGAACTTCCAAAGTTTAAACTCATTCCATGATGTCATTTCAATATAACTTGATGACAGCGAAAATATTTGTAACAAAATAGATCTTTTCAAGTATTTTGAGCAAGACACCTAAACAGCACATTAATTATTCATTTTTCCTTGTATGCGAATTATCCGACAGTAAAATTTTGAATAACAAGTTTATTGAAATAGAGAAAAGCTCAAGTCTAAATTATCATCCTGAAATTCTGATTTCTATTTCCTAAATGTTTTTTATTCACAGCAATGTTGTTAATAAGTTTTAGCATTAATTTTCACACAAAATTTTCAATAATCTAGCTCTTTATCTTTTTTATCTCTTTATTTTTAGAAGCGGTTATGCTTTGCAAGCTGTATTCTGATTTTTTAAATCTTAATAAGATCATTCGAAAAAAAATACTGTCATTAATTGGGTCAACCTGTACAAAAAAAAAAGAACAGAAAACGCAGTCGCGTTGTTTAACAGGTACTTTTAACACGTACTCAATCCAACTGAGTTTGAAAGGGAGGGCAATGAACTGGTTTGACACTGAGATAAACAGGTTTACGAAAATCAAGATAGTGTTGTGCCCCGGGTTTGAAAGTAGTGAAATAGCGATTACATCGCATAATTTATTTAAGTTAACAGATATGAGTACCTACAGCAAAATAAATATATTATGAATAAGTTTAGACACTTGATCTTTAGAATGATGTTATTCAGTTTAAGTGTGATTAGGGGATGGAGATTTTGTAAGAATTCTTTTCAGATATTTTTGTTATGCATCGCAACTTGGGTACATAACCTTAATTGGGTTTTTTTAAAACTCGGGAACCACATTAAAGAGTCAATATAATTTAAGCATACATGAAGAAATCGACCAAAATTTCATTTCCTTTTTTCAAAAGTAAAATTATTTTGTGGCAATGTAGTTTGAAAGTTGTGTCTATAAAGGTTGTTCAACCGAAAAATAATAATTTCTTTAAAAAAAAGATAAATAAATTAAAAAAGGGGTTTTAAAAATTAAGTTGTAGAAGATACAGTATTTCTTTACAGACACTTAGTATCTTTCTATTTAAAACTTTTTTTTATTATGTAGGGAAATTATCAATGGACAGTTGACCCCTTCCATTCCTCAACTTGTTGTAGTCACATGCTCACATATTAAGTCCCCAAAATGTCCTTATAACCCCTCCAAATTGGGTTTTGGAGTCTTAAAAAAACCCCTTTATTAATCTATTTGTTGTATCATACTGAAATATTTGCTCATAATGATTTGTTAACATAGCGCCGTCATGTCTATAGGGTGGATTTCATAATGTGTTTTATAAAGTACATTTTCATTTTTCTTCAAGATTGTGAAAACCTTTATTTTTTCAGGTTAGAAGGGTACATTCGTCCGTAAATGTGTTTAAAATTTTTGAGGAAAAAAACAGACCCGCGTTCTTGTGCAATACAGCTGTATGCATCCGAAGGTAACATTTTCCCTCTGGGTGACCTATTACTATGAACTGTTTACTGCCACTTTTGTCAGAGTAATATAAAGCATTTCTTTGTTGAAGAATTTCTAGTCTATTTAACTTCATAATGTTTAAAAGAGAGAGGTTTAACCTTGATGCAATTTAAAGATAAAAAGAATAAGATTCAGGCCAGCATCAGGTACAGAAATTGAAACTAAAACTGGATTATTTTATTAAACGCCTATTTTTACATGAACATATTCAATGGCGTTGTACAGTAATGGAATTATAAGGAAAGCAATGCGTTTTTAATTTACAGTGATACACAAGGTAGAACATCATAAAATTGCTTATTTTTAACATGTAATCTACAGTTAAAAATATATCATACACCTGAGTTTTCCTGGAAAAGTAAAGACTGAAATTTTGGCATATATATATTTTTAAGTGTTGAATTCCCAGCAAAATGTGGTTCTTTAGCTAACTGCGAAATGTTTTATTAAAATTTTGTTTAGAAGAGTTACATACACATAACATTCTCATGTTATACCTAAAAATAACAATGAATTTCATTTACTATAAATATATAGAGTTTACTCTTTTATGTTGTGACGGTCCTTTGACCTCAAATCAAATTAGCAATAAAAAAGTTAAATGAAACCCGAAGAATAACTTTTTATATTTATATAGTTCTTCTGAGATAAATTTTATATGCAACAAGACAAATTCGTGTAATAAAACAAGGAGACTATACAGAAGGCTATTATCAGTGTGTATCATTTTGGGGCCTTTATTTCAATGTAACTGACTATATAATGTGTGCAATAAAGAAACCACATTTCCAATGTAATGCCTTCACTTGTGAGCATAACATACAAAATAAAATTCCTCTCAAAAATATATTTAAGAAACATTAAATAAGATAATGACGTATTTACAGGGTTATTTTTGTTATCAATTTAAAAATCAAAATTACAGATTATCTACTTATGTTTGTTTGTTGTTTAACGTCCCTCTCGAGAATTTTTCAATCATATGGAGACGCCACCACTTGCCGGTGGAGAGCTGCCAATTTTGTCCTATCCTCGGCCATCAAGGCCATTGAGCAGTGAGGGATCTTTTTAGTGCCAGTTACCTACTGTGACACGGGGTCTCGGTTTATACACGGTCTTATCCGAAGGACCGGTCTCCACGTCCCACAGTGTGATTCGAACCCGCGACGTATGGATCAACTCCTTACTTCGCGACTCTAGAGCAGACGTTCTAACCACTGCGCCGCGCGAGCGATTATCCATTTAAGAAAAATTACATAAGATAATGTACTGTAATTACGGGGTTATTTTTCGTTATCAATAAAAAAATATATATAGATTCTCCTAAAAGTCAATGGAAATTTTAACTTTCATATTCATTATAATAGAATTTTCAATAGTGCCAAAAGTTTAAGTTTTAAAAAATAATATGATCTAAAATGTTATCACTTTAGGCTTTATATGAAAAACAAAATCTACCACCTCACAAGTCAATTACAAATTATGGTCGCCATACACTCTGATGTAAATTTTGTGTTTTGCATTCCTTTACATGTTAGCCTGAGTGGCATACTTGCATTTAGAGTTTTTGGATGATTAATATTATCACTAGGGTATTAATCACCATAAATCCTTTTTTATGTCCAACTAGAAATGCAAACATGCAATGCACCGAGTTTTAATTGAGACAGTGCATTTGAAATTCATATTGCGACACAAAAAAGCTCACTAAGTCCTTTTAATATCTGCATTTTAAAAATTAAATATAACATTGATTTTTAAAAAAGCACTCAGGGTATTGAAAAGGGATGGGTATTTTGTTACTATATCTGATTTAAGGTCAAGATCTAGTAAATAACTTGAGGCTAATTTCTTGGTACTAGATCCATTATGACGTCATAATCAATTTCAACTTTCTTTTTCCCGTACTTTACATCTTCAGCAGAATTATGTAGAAAATAAGGTATTTCCAAGACATTCAATTTGAAATCATATAAAAAGTAAACCGGATACCTATATTAAATTTGATATTGATTTAAAGAAGAGGCCATGAACATACTAATTACCGTTTTCTGAGTATATAGGCAATCTGGATGCATATCCTATGGCGAATATGAAAAAAACCATATTCATGACCGGTTTTCTTAATTTTTCATTGAAAATGACAGTTTAAAAAAGTTTTTTACCTTCAAAATGTGAAACACCTCATTTGACCAAGCTAATGTTGTAAAGCATCAATAAAGGAATTTATTTTTCAAATTTGATAAATCTGTAGGCACCCTTCATTTACTAGATCTTGACCTTAACTGATTTATTTACATGAACCTGATAATTGTTATCTTTATTGTTAGAAGTATCGTTAAGAAGCTATTAAGGTTGTTTGTACAATAATTTATGAAATATTTAAAAAATAAGATTTACGCAATATTTTTTTTGCATGCAATATTCTGGTATATAGGTTAATATCCAGTCGATTACACAACCAATCCAATCGTTCCTGACAAAA